ACGTGGGTGCGTGGCAGCCGCTGCCAGCTCCGTGCAGCTGTGCAGGGAGCAATGCTGGAGAGGTGGAGGGTGTCCCTGTCCCCACGTCCTCGGCTGCTGAGGGGTGCTGTAATAACCCGCATCATTCCCCAAATCCTCTTCTAATATTGCTCATCCTTGCTGCTCCCCTTGCTCGGGGGGGGAAACTGGCCCAGGATCTACCCGTGGCTGAAGTCTGGAGGCTGCTTAGCTTCGCCAGGGTGGATAACGGTCTTGAGAAACATTAAAGATGTCTGAGGTTTTCTAAATTACTCTTTGCTAATAGCCTGAGAGTTGCACAAAATTATCCAATTACCAAGCGGTTGGGTAAAATGATACAATTACCAGCTTCACATCTGGGTTCTTAATTTCATTGTGTTGTAGTTGCTTATAAAGAGCTAGTTCTCTGGTCCTTATCTCTGTAACCAAGTGCAGCAGTTCTTGCTTGGGCAGAGTGTTGGATTGCAGCTGGCAGGGAAGGATAAAGCCTCTGAAGTTCCTTTTTTTTTCCCGGTGTAATACTGGACACAGTTTTTCCTTTGGGTCCAGAAAAATCTAAGCAGAACACTTCATACAGCAGCATCTGAAACGCTTCCTCTTCAAACCTTCCTCTTGCAGATGCTTTTGATAACGATTTTAAAGCCTCTGAAGTTCCTTTTTTTTTCCCGGTGTAATACTGGACACAGTTTTTCCTTTGGGTCCAGAAAAATCTAAGCAGAACACTTCATACAGCAGCATCTGAAACGCTTCCTCTTCAAACCTTCCTCTTGCAGATGCTTTTGATAACGATTTGATGCATACAACCCTGAAAAATATCGTTGAGGGGAAGACAGTCGAGGTGCCAACGTACGACTTTGTGACCCATTCTCGGTAGGTTCTGGGTTTGGGTGAGGTTCTGGGGTGGGGGTGGCCCCAGATGGCTGTGGTGCCAGACCCGTGTAACGAGGTGGGCTGGGTGTGTTTTCCTGGCAGGCTGGCAGAGACGACGGTGGTCTATCCTGCTGACGTTGTTCTCTTCGAGGGCATCCTGGTGTTCTACAACCAGGACATCAGGGACATGTTCCACCTGCGGCTCTTCGTGGACACGGATTCCGACGTCCGGCTGTCCCGCAGAGGTAACGCTCTGCAGCCTCTTGTTGTCCTTCTCCAGCCTTCCCTGTGTGCAAGGCTCAGGGTGTTTATCTTCCCGCCCCAGTTCTGCGAGATATGAAGCGTGGGAGGGACCTGGAGCAGATCCTCACGCAGTACACCACCTTTGTCAAGCCTGCCTTTGAGGAGTTCTGCTTACCGGTACTAAAGGCTCTGTTAATTCAATTTCTGTGGGTTTTTCGGGGGGAGGAAGGGATTAGCTGCACTGTAGATGGAGCAGTGGTGGTGTCTGTTATTCACAAGTCCCATGCTCTCCTCTCTGCCTCATTATTTAACCTTTGCAAGCTGCTCGTTCAAGGAACTTAAATGGTTGGTCCCTTGTGTTGCAAACCCCCATGGAAATCCCTAGAGGCTGCTGTGGCTGTTGTAGAATGGGTCCCTGTGGCTGAAACACTCCCACTCTGTATTCATCCTTACGTCTTGCAGGAAGAAAGAAGAGGTTGGTTTCCAGCAGACTCTCACCAGGGAAGGCTGGTGAAAACCTGGGGCAGAGCATTACAGCATCAGCTTTGCCATGGCATACACTCAGGGCACAATTTAGCTGCACACGTAATCAAAGCAATTTGCAAAAAAAACCCTTTGAGAACAAAACCCTGTATGTGGGTTAAGTAAGGTGGAAGAGGCACCTCTTGCTCTAGATCAAAGCAATTCTGGGGTTGTAAAAGTACTCATTAGAAACACTGAATTTGCTGTCCTTTTTCTGAGCAGGGTACAGGGGGAAAAGCAGGGGCTCTCTGCTGGTAAAGATCAATAAAATGTCATCAGAGGCAGGAAGGAATTTCACATGCTCGTTGGGTACTCTGCTCTCAGCAGAGATTTAGCAATGGCTTGTGAAATGCTGATTAGAACCAGCTCTTAGCAAACAGACCTCAGCCTCAAAGCCTGAGGGACTCCTCAGAAGTGTAAAAGCAAGTACTCCACACTTGACCTACTGCTTCTACTTGGTGGTTCACTGCAAAGGGACAGTGAGAACAATCCATGACCTTAAATCCAGTGCCTGTTAGCCACTATGACTTCTGAGTGCATTTAACTTGCAGCCCCAGAGCACAGAAACCCCTCGACCTTTGCCCCAGCTTTCTGGCCTTTGGGAGCTTCTTCCTAGAATACAATGTGACTTTCCCCATTAACAGTCTCCCCCACCGTTGCTGTTTTGCAGACAAAGAAGTATGCAGATGTGATCATCCCCCGAGGAGTTGACAACATGGGTAAAAGGGGGTTGGGTTCTGTGCCTGGTTCCTCTGGGGTGACCACCTTTGGGGCTGGAAAGAGCAGGTGGCACACCACGGTCTTGTGTTTGCGTGCTGCTCAGCAAAGGTGTTTTGGTGGAGGGCTGGAGGAGGGGGGAGCTGCCTGGAGCCTGACTGGGATGACCAGTGGTGGAGGGCTGGAAGAAGAGCTGTGAGATTGGAGGTGCAGAGCAGGACACTGGTGGTGAGGCTGGTGCTGCAGCTGCTGGTTTTGGTGGAGCTCTGACCTCGCTGCAGGGGGCAGGCACGGTTCTGTTTAAGGGCTTGTTAGAACCCGAGTTGAACAGGGCTGGATGCTCCACGTTTTCCAGCCAGCTCAAGCAGGAAAGCCTACCTGTCCTCCCTTTCCTCTTCCTGCAGTTGCCATCAACCTCATAGTGCAGCACATTCAAGACATCCTAAACGGAGACATCTGCAAGTGGCAGCGGGGGGCTGTGAACGGGCACAGCCGCTCCTCCAAGCGGCCGTTCCCGGAG